GGTTGTGGATGCGGGCACAATGTTCTTATATATGATATATATATATATATCATCAATCACGGACGTTTCGGAATTACTTTAACTTCCATCAACAGCCTTAAAACCTCAAAAAGTTACTTCACAATATTTTGAAAACCAACATTAGCTATTAAGCTATTAATATCCGAAATTATAGATGTTTTTAGCTATTACCGTGTTTTTAATATTTATTATAAATTAGTTACGAACATTCTTCTTTAACCTTTAATATTAATTTCTCAGTATATTTTATACGTGTATCATCCAAATTGTTTATTCCCCTGCAACGTCTCTTTTCCTACGTGCATTGTTGTATTACGTTCCATCAGCTTATGTATAAGTATACTGCTATGTACTACATTGTTATGTGAAATAATAATAAGAAAAACGAGAATTTAAAAAACAAATCAGTGACAAAGAAACAGAATCAAGATATAAATACAACAATTTAGATAACAGATAATTAACCAGCCTGTTATGATTAACCTTTAGAAAGGCTTCAAAATATTCGTTTAAGGCTGTTGTTGTCCTTATGTTGTTTGCTTTTCCGCGCTTGTACAAGTGTCCGGTGCATTGTAAAAATCCTCTTAACTCCGATTATACAGTCCACGATAGTTTTTTTTTAACCCCAACAACGCGGTTCTCAATTAACGTAGAAGTTAATCTAAATGTAGAATACATATTCCAGCCACTTTCTTGCACAAGTGTCCTTTCATCATAAGTCCATCTCACCATTCGACCGTTAAATGTCACTACCTCATTTCTCAGCACCACCTCTACTCCTATTACGCGGGATATGACGCAAAGAATCTCCACAGCGCAGCCTCCCATTGCACAACCTAATTGCGTATAATTATACTTCACGTCCAATTAGACAGTCGTACACCGTGCATCGGTCACCTCATTAACAAAATTAATAATTTAAGTTACGTTGCAAAATGATGCACCTCATAAAAGTATTTTATTGTTGTATTACTTTATTTTATATAACATATTATTTGATACGACAACAATAGAGGCTTAACCCCTGAGAAAGGAAAAAAAATTATTGTTTGGTATTACAAACATTTTTCTTCTGTATTTTGTGGTCATGATTTTTATAAGAACCTATAAATGTACCAATATTTCTTAATTGTTTGGCTACACAAATCACTTGATTTTCATATATCCAGCTGATCCTCGTGAATTATGTGACGATGAGTTTTCCTCTGAGAAATTTGTCCTCAGGAGTCCTGGATACCCTCAAAGTTATCCAAACAACATCAACTGTCATTATCTGATCCGAAAAAACAATCCAGGCGTGTGCGCTCTTGACCTTACTGTTCAAAGTTTTCACTTGGAAGAAAACCAAAATTGTGACTACGATTATCTCGACATTAAAGGACATAAATTTTGTGGTCAAGTGCCAAGTGGTTCCATAAGTAAGTTATCCTCGGTGAAACAAATAATCATTATTTTGTGTAATAATTGTTCACATTATTATATACCAATAATATTGCGTATAAGCAATGGACAACCTTCAAGGCCTTATTTTTATTTGTTCTTAAGCGCAAAGATACACAGTGGGTTATCTGTGATCTGTCCGTCGAAGGTATCGAAACCCAATTTTTAGTATTTGGAGGCATCAGACTCGCCGCTGAGCCACCTATTGGCCAACCTTCATAGACTATTACCAAAAAAACTATTAGATCATTATTTTATTCTCTAAAAGTTTTGCTATGTTTATATTTATTTTTTCACCTCATAAACTTGCTGTCCCTATACACGTTTTTTTTTTTAACTGCATACACGTTTGTCTTATAACAGTAAATAATTAATCTTGCGATGTATATTAGTATAAATACAATTCATTGTACGATTCTTCTTTTGTTTTTTTTATGCAGGAAGAATTTATTTTGAGGGACCAGATTCTCTGCGTATTTACTTTTATTCAGACAAAGCAACAAATCGTCCTGGTTTCTCTATAGGCGTTCAGCAGATAACGCATTGTCTAAAGACAACATATAATATTGGGAACCATCTTCTTACCAGGTCGCCATATTGGTTCCTCGTTTTGTCACAGAAACATTGTTCTTTTAATAACTATATTATTTTGTGAATAATTATTACAAATAAAGATGGATAGTTCAAATATCGTCAGATTAATAAATAATAGTCGGAAGTGCTACCAAACGTTTATATCTTTACTAAAGTTTTAATTCAGATCATTATTCACCTTTTCATTCTTGGTTATCCTAATTTATCCAGTATCACCACCACCAGCACTCTGCGATTATTGCCAGCGACAAGAAAACGGACATTACACGAGTCCTAATTTTCCCGAAAATTACAGAAATGGAGTACGTTGTTCTTACCGGATTGAACCAGTGCCAGGTTTTTGTGGGGTCGAGATTTACTTCCACGAGTTTGATGTGGAATTCTCCTCTGGTTGTAGGAAGGACTTTTTTATGATCGAGGGCAAGCGTTACTGTGGCACAGAGATAAGAAGACAAATCCGTAAGTTTGGATAATGAACGGCATAATATCAGTAGTTTTTGGAACTTACCGCTGTACCATCTGGGGGACTGGGTAACTGTAAACAGAACTGTTTTTCTCTATATTAAGCTGCCTCCCCCCCCCCCCCCGAGAAAGAGAGTGGTTTTCTTTATAATCAAGCTGATTCTATATAAAACAGTTTAAACAACAAGTTGCAAATTAAAAATAACGGTGGTTAACACTTTCTTGTACAATGATAGTTTTGGCAAATAGACATCTTATATACATATTCTCGATCTGCTCATATAATGAGAACTATGAACCAGTTTTAAAAAAAATCAACATTCGAAACTTCTCTACATGATGACGTTTTTGTTGTTACTTCCCCTCATTGTGAAAACTAATAATTAATGTTAAGCCAAGCATATCTTAGCATAAAAATGTTAATCTTCCATATATATATATACGTTGTTGTTTTAGCACAAAACTGGGCTGCCCATCGCGGGGAATCGAACACCGGATTTAAACGTTATCCATATATACAAATTAATTTGTTTTTCAATAGTTTATCAGCTAAGTAAAGGAGGAAAATCAGCCATAAATATTTTGTACGTGAAAACATGAAACACATCTTTGATTAAGATTAACAATTATTTACTAATAAAGCAGATGTTTAATAGTGTACTAATTTTTGTCAATAACCACATTTCACAGAATGTTACATCAGATACACCTACGTTTAAACTAGCGAAGAACTATTAACTACTACATAACTGAAAATAAATTACCCTTGTAGTAAGTTACGCAGAAAGTATAGGCAGTACATTAATATTTATTTAAAGATATTTATTCCATATTTACAGTTTTTCTCATATCAATATCACACATTGAAAATACAGAAAATTAGTTCCGGTGCTGCTAAAGTGTTTGTTTGTTTGTTAAGCCCAAAGCTACACATTGAGCTATCTTTGCTATGCCCACCACAGGTATCTAAACCTGGTTTTTAGCGTTATAAATCTTCAGGCTTACCGCTGAGCCACCGAGTGTGGGGGCAGTACTGTGGTAGTAAGCGAAAGATTTAGATATAACGTATTGAAGATATCTTATCCAAATCTGGTGTTTATGTTGAAATCAAGTATCGAATCACTGTATGAAGTTGTTTTAGGAACAACCTAACTCGAAATAAATAAAAACTTATACTAGCAACAAATGTTTTCAATATTTACAAAATATCGCGAAAAGACTCCCTCTTTCTGATAATTTTAAACTTTGAAACGTATCAATTTTGTCCAGCAAAATTTAGGGTCACCAGAAAAAAAAAACGCCTTTCGTCTCTAAACGTTGGGCCCTGCCATGGCCAGGTGGTTAGGGCGATCTAAGGATCGCGAGTCTGTATCCCCGTTCCATCAAACACGTTCGCCCTTTCAGCCGTGGGAGCGTTATAATGTGACGGTCAATTCCACTATTTTTTTTGGTAAAAGAGTACCCCAAGAGTTGTCGGTGGGTGGTGATGACTAGCTGCTTTCCCTCTAGTCTTATACTGCTAAATTAGGGACAGATAGCCCTCATGTAGCTTTGATTGAAATTCAGAAAACAAACAAACCCTGAACGATGTTAACATCAACAACTTCCGTTTACTAATTACACGCACGTACGCAGGGGAGTTCTAGAGGTTTCGGCCGAACCCCCTATTTTTGTAATGTACAAAATTTATGCTAATATAATTATAGCACAGCTCCTTATGTTATTTAACATTTTCTACATAGTCTACATTATTCTGATGAACCATTAGCATTTCATGGCTTGAAATAGTCGCATGTCCCCAGACCCCCCGGGGTATTAGCATGACTTGCATGCTGTTTGTGCTTGACACAATATGTGTTAGCTTTTGATCACACCAATTAGACCCCCCCCCCTTTCAAACTTTCTGATTTAAAAATTTCATTTTATCGCTCACCTTTTTTTATTATTTCGATTTAATTGTACCACAGCGGCCTCTGTGTGACTTTAGGAATACCCTTAGCTTATTAAGTTTTGAGACTACGTTTCGATCTTTTAGCTAAAATAAAAATTAAGTCAATAAACAAATTCAGTGCTCTCAATTTTAATACAACATAATTGTAACTTATTCTGTAATTATATATCTCACTCTTAAATATACATATATAAATGTGTGTGTGTGTGTAACGACATATTTAAGTAATCGAGAGATTTTTTATTTCTTTACACTAGTTTATCTAGGTTTCAGAGACGGCCCTCTGCCGGAAATACAGTTAAAATTCGAGAGTGACGACTTTTCTAGTGGCCAAGGCTTTCATCTAGAATATCGACAAATACCTTGTCGTAATATGCATCCTTTTAGAGCGCTAAGTCTCTCTGATGGTGGCTCAAATACTTCTTTTAACTTCACGAAATACGAAAATAACTCCAACTTTGAGAAACATAACGTACGTGATGGAATCTCGTCCAAGAACACGACAAGTTTTCCAGCCCGAGAAAAGTTTACAAACGTATAGTTAGCTATTGTTCCAATGTCAGATTGAGAATATGAATATTAAGTATACTTCTAGTGGACAGAGATGATACTGCAATGTATTTAAGGATTTTCTTTCAATCGTGTTTGAGATCGTCATCTTACTATTACTATTAAAGTTTGTTTGTTTGCATTTTTAATTATTTTAGCAATAGATGGCACCCCACGTCAGTTCACATTTTCTAAGCATTTATGAGTGTGAATTGCTAAAATTATATGTTCTTCAAGAAACAGTATCAATGCTACTGTCTCCCTTTTACACTCTTTTTTAACACGTCCCTCAGGAGCCAATGGGTGTCTTTACACTACAATTTGTTGAATATTAAAAGCACGTTCAATCCGGAAACTCCCAAAGAGGGTGGTTTTGGGTATATCTTTTAGAGACAACCTCGAAACAAGTTTTCGTTTGTTAATTGATATATTTTTAAGTGAAATACAGCATCTTCAAGTCTCCATACTAGCTAGTACTAAGGTCTACCCGCCTTGGAGTAAATTCAGTGTATATCAATAAAACCACATTTTCAGCATCATTAATAAAGTAATTGTCAACCTTTTGTGCTTCTGCTATCACCTTTTTATGTTTAGCTTTCAATTGAGATAAGAACGATTTCTCCTGCGATTTGGTAGACAAGGTCGAAGTATCACGATAGTCAGCAGTAGGATGAGTAGACAGGAACACTTTGAAAGCAGCAACAGGCATACTATTGTACTCGGCTTGCTGCACAATATCTACCAAGGTGGTTTTCTAAACGATTCCTGAATTATTCTGCGTGTCATTTGGAGACTTCCATGCTTCTTGTGCTTGGCCGTTAAGCTCGTGATGTGCTGACGGATTTCAGTCACCTCACCACTTCAAATCACTTTTTGCAGCCTCAAAGCTAAAACAGTGCGGGAAATGCCTTCTTTTTAGCCAATAAACATCTAAAAACAATTCAGTTCAAATTAAGAAAAACCGAATTGGATAGTTGTTGTATTTTTCAACAAAAATGTCTCCAACTGGCTCGTGAGGGGACTGTTAATATTAAAAATCAGCTAAAACACCGGATAACCGTCCAACGTGCTCGTGTTATTGTCTGGGTTTTCTTAAACCAGTTTTTTATATTTTTTAAAACTTTGTATCTTGATAACAGTTTCTGGTAAAGGGTTTTATACATATAAAATTATGTGTTATTAGGTTGGCGGTTTATGTTGTACATAATGTGGGTTAAACCTTAAATCTTATAACTTATGTCTTAATTAGGAGTACTGTAAGTCCAACAATAGCTTGCAAACATCACGTGTAAAGATTTGTCCCAATAATAAAGGAAATAACGCCTTGCCTTCACTTTGCCAGCCTTCGTCCTTTCGTCTTTTCGGCTTTTTTTCTCGCCTAAGTCAACAAATATGTAGCCTAACATATATCAAAATAATTAAATAACCTCGCTACGTTAAATATCTCCACACCACATGCGGGGCGAAGGAGGTTTAAATAATCTTCGAACAACCCGGATGCTAAATCGTCTGCTAAACAACTTGGACTATTTTCCATCTGAATACCTGCTCAGTTGTTTGTGTATTTAGGCACTTCCGAACAATGCATTACTCAAGACTTAACCCAGAACTACACAATAAATATTTAATAACCGTTGTTACTAAAATAAAGTTAACAAGAGATGTGATGAAAATATTTTAAATAAAAGACAAGTTGGTGATTGAAAACAAATACTGAGACTAAATTAACGTATTAATTAAACAAGCAGAATCTTGATAAACTGATAACTTTATGATAATAAAGTAAAAACTGTACACGACATTTAACACTAATATGCCACAGAGGTTCAAACAAGCATAATAATCACAAATAATTAGAATACGTTCTATAGTTATTTAATATGTTAATCTCCAGATTTAACGTCCATAGACTAAGAGCGGTGATGCTGGTTAGATTTACATTCTCAAGCCAACGAGTCATTTTTTTTCATTAAATATTTTTAAAAGTTACAGATAAGAAATCAGCAAATTTCTGGAACTACTGTAAAGATTTAAATAGTAGTTATTTGTTGCAGCACGTCCTTGGATGATTAATATTTTTTTTTTTTTGTACCTGACCAAATTATATACAGTTTTAAAACCCTTTACAAACTTGACACAAATCAGGTTAAGAAAATTACCAGAAATCAAACTTTTAACTATTAATACTTTGTTTCTTTTAGAGAACAATACACTTCTTTAAATATATTTTATAAACATAAGGAATGTCTTACTTACACGTGGTCGAAGATGTTAGGTATTGTGTTAACAGTAGTATATGGTAAAAAAAATTAATCTAAACTTTTGATCAAAGCAAACTAACTACTTAAACCAGAACTAAAAATCACCCCCCCCCAAAAAAAATATAGTTAATTAAGTACACGGTTTTTACGTTCTTAATGCTTATGGTGATCAAATGTACTGATCAAATTATCGGCCATAATCCTAATAATATCTCAAGACTCGGCCAGTAATTAATCCATATGATAACAATACAAAATATAATAATAAAAATAGATAATATTAAACAATCTAATCAGTACTGTTTATGAAAGTAATATTAAGGAAATAATATACCTTACTTGCAGAGCACACAAACACTAAGTGTTAATTTCAAGTACTGTCGTAGATTTCATGTTCCTTGAATAGCATGACATCATTATACGCGAAACTTAATATAATCTTCCCTAACAACATCTCGTGAACAACGAAAAACGGCTCCGCCAGTGTAAATGTTTGACCTTTGAGATAGGACACATTACTATTCAGCAATGGGATCGAGTAGTATGACGATACTGATAGTACAGGGGAAAAAAATTATGAAGATAAAAATTATATAACAGAATCTATTATAAATAGCAAGAATATTGATAATATAATATAACCACGTTAAATATAATAAAAAATAATATTTTAAACATTCGATGAAGTACGTGTAACACAAGTATTCCGACTTTAACTAACCCTTGTTATTTTATAACACACATGGAGCGGGCAGCCGGAGTAATAAATAAAACCTAAAGCAGTAGTCAAAAGTATGCATGATAATATTCGAGAAAGCATACAGTAATAATAAAAGTTAGATGAAGAAATAAGAACGATGGCGAATATGATAAACTAACCAGCAGAAACTAATTATATTTACAATCTAAATCAATATCTCATAAATGTCTGTGCCTATATCCGTTTGTAACTGCCAAACCGCTTGACCTATTGTCACTAAAGCCAGTACATACCTTTAGGGCCTTCCATGGAATGATATAAGGGGTCAGCGTTTGGATCCCTTATATCTATCTACCTATATACTACTAAACTCTGAGGTTGTTTGCTTGTCTGTAATTACGTACAGCAAAGACGGCGCAAAATATGAGAATAGAAACAGAATAAAACAAGCTTCGTTAAAATCGGGCCACGGATTACCGAGTTAGCAAAGTTTTTCGGGTCACTTTTATGAAAATTTCTACCATGAGTAATTTTACATCACACTACCGTTCGCGCTCTTTACGAAACTTCTTACTTCACTTTTTGAAAAATGAAATGGTCTTTCCTTTTACTCCCGATCAACAATAAAATTTTTTTCATGAATTATGAATAATACGAATGGATTGACATATTTAATTAAATTATCTCAAAATAAACCTTCATTTCGGTGCAATATTGAAATTAGCTTGAATTCTTCATAACCTCTGAATAGTGGGTGACCCAACGGGTCACAAGTGGTCTAGTCACCTCCTAAGACTCTCTATGTCTTCATCGAAAAAGTACGTCTGTTAATGTTATACTATATATAGAACTTTCATTCAGCTTGCATTAATTAAAGTTGTTCGATATTACCTCAAAACACTTTTTTTAAAGAAACGAAAGTACAGACTTTAAAATTTTGAAAAGTCGTGGTATTTTTTTTTAAATTATCAATCCCATAATAGGTAGCAAAAACACCGTTGTATTTCCCGCAAATTTGAATGAATCTGGTGCTGTAGGAGAATCCTTGTTTGTGAAAAATGAGAGCGAATTTGTTAGAGATATCAACGAAATCTAGTACTGTTGAGCAAATAACAATGTATCTGATCAGTTTAGAGCAGTAAACTTTGTAACACAACTTATTTGGAATATGAAAAATTTATCACTTCAAAATTTGAAATTTATGTTTTATTACAAACTTTGAACTTAACTGATTGATTGCCATACTAATATTTAACCCCCAGGTAATGTGTTTTGTTTATAGTGACCTGATTGGCGGGATGTAGGCCAAAACTCACATGATAATTCACGCATGTGATAGAAGTAGCTCGTCATGTAAAAAAGTTTAAGATTGAGGGTTTTATTTATATATATATATATTTGGACTACATCCGCTCAATGAGATTACAATTGGTAGCTCGCGATAAGTTTGAGTTCTTCTATTGCAAAATTTAGTGTTCAACACCTGCATGAGCATAACACAGATAGTCCATTATACAGTTTTGTGCTGAAATCAATAATGTTTGTTCCATAGAATAAAAACCCACCTTTTAATTTGAGCTTTACATGAACAATTATTTAGTAAAGATAATAAGTTGACGACGACGACAACCAGGGGGAATCAATCATCATTCTCAACTGCTTGTGCCACTTGAAACCAGTGCTCAAAAGTACCGACCCTGTGTTCATTGTGAAGCATAGATTTAACTTATTTACAGGGTATCATGTTTTTGGCAAGATTTTCTGTAGTAGTTGGAGCCTTGGTGTTATTACCTTTTGTTGTCTTCTTGTAGACGTCATGAAATTATTCCTATGATCAGAGAAAGTTGATTACTGAAACTTGGAAGCTACCGATTGATTTTAATTTGATTTACAGTATTTAAATTTAAATTTCGGGTCTGAAAAACCTTGAAAAGGAAGGCGAAAGAGTGATGAAATTGATATAATCGTACTTTATATTATTATAAAAGTAATATATAATGTATATTAATTTAAATGTATTTAGATTGTTCTAAATTTCCATACAGGTTTAATTTTACCTTATTGTGTTCTTATTTTACTTTTAGTGTTCTACATAAAGTTAGGGTATTCCTGGTAAACCAGATGTACAAATGACGTAAACATACATTAATCCTCTTACCTTAGGTGAAGGTTGGATAAAAGCTTGTACCAGTTTGGCCCTGTTTCTGTATCTCTGGGGTCATACTAATTTCAAAATGTGATACAGGGACTTGTAAAAGTTAGTATATGAGTTGAGGATTTCTCCTTTGTACGGTTCTATTTGGAATAACCATTAACACAACTGATCTAAAGGATTGTGATATACTACACCAGAGCCTCGATCTGACAAAAATGTTAAAAATAGTATATCTCCATGTTTCTGAATCTGTTGCTTAATTTTGTTTTTCTTTCCTGTTTGTGATCGTTTTAATAGTAGAAACAACATTTTGCAGATACTTGCAACTACTCAAATGGTATTGGTGTACCTGAAGACCACAACTTACTGTCATTCCTAATCCTTAATCTGTTATGCTTTACTCGTTAAGGAGTGCATTTCAATTTATCCTTTGCTAGATCTAGAGATGCTTTGGGAAAAAGTTGAAACACTCTAGTCTGTGGTATTCTCAGTACAACTGAAGGAACCAACTGGTGGTAAGTAACGCAGCAATAACAAGTGGCACAAAGGAGTATTTGATCAAGCCAAACGTGGTCAAAAGGAAAGAGACTGACACTGTTGCTGCATTTTGAAAAAACAATGAAAAATGTAATTAATTGTAAATACAACTGCAACAGTAAAAGGTATATTAAGTTTTCGAAATTTGTCCAGAAGATTGGTTGCTCTGTTCAGAAATAAAGCAAGGTTTGGAAGATTGCACAAAATAATCATTCAGGCGATTCTGATATGAATAGATTATGTTTAACTATCCACTTCTCTTGGAATTATATTCAAGTTCAATCTCGCTCTCTCTTACCAGAATGCTAGGCCACCCACGTCAACAAATTGTTTCTGGGTCTTATCACATAAAATGGGGAAAGCAAAGTTTTGCAGCATCTCAATCTCTATGTATGATAAATGCATTAAAAAGTAATTAAATACTTATCTAATGTAGTGTCCAGAGACAAATATTCCAGCTCTTGTTCTGGCCATGAGTGACCACCTAAAAACAGGACTTAGCTTGATTCATAACTGGTTGCATCCTATTCACTTAGAACATCTACGTAAACCCAGACAAACTGTACTAATATTTTGAAAGATATCCGAATATAAATATATTGTTGCGTCAGCGAGATCACGTGACTATTCTCACGCCCTCTGCTTTCTAGAACTATCCTGTACCTTGGCGAATGCTCTAGCATTTACTAGATATAAGGTAGTCTGGTATATAAAAGAGGGTGACAACGTGACGAAAATGGAATGTGTGTGTCGGTAGTGAGTAATTGAACTGCAGTCACAGGGTATTGTTGAAGTTAACGTTCGTTCGTTATAGCGTTT